CACCATGATGTCTTTCTGTAGAGTTAGAGGTTTCTCTGAGTTAAAGTTTTACTAATTAGTTTCACTGGTATTTCTATTATTACTAAAACAAGATGTTTTCTTTTCAAAATACATATAATTTACAAAAAAGTATAAAATAAATCACTTGTATTTCTAATATTTTGGTGTACAGTGTTTCAGACTTTTCCTATAAATGTACACATATATGCATATTATAAAATATTGAATTAAACCATAATAATGCTATTTTCACTTGTGCATCCTTCTATATCGAAATTATCATTCTCCTGCATGGTTCCATTGATTATGGACATGGCCCAGTATCACCACTTCGTACTCATTTCTAAGTAATTTCCAATTTGAGGCTCTTACAAATAATACTGTGGTAACCATCCTTGTTTACCATCTTTACCCCTTTGCCTAATGCTTCCTTAGAATTAATTTTTGTATGTTAAATTTCTGGATCAAAGGGAATATACATTTTAACAGTTTGTTTGCACGTATACTGCCAAATTGCCTTTCAGAAAGTTTGTGCCAGTTTAGACTCCTGCCAACAGTTGACGAGGACCCTCTCCCACAGTACATCACACATTAATGAGATTTTAGCATTCCTTTCACATTTGTTAATTTGAGAGATGAAGGGAGGATTTTACTTTTTCAATTTGCTTAAATATTGGTAAGGTTGAACATGTTTTCATGTTGTTTTGGGTTAAGTCTAACTAGAAAGCAAAGCACACTTAAGTACAAATTGGGTCTAAAATTGATTTTACTTCACTGAAATAAGAAAGGCAGTAAATGCAATCTCTGAGACCATCAAATTTGCCAAAAATTAGAAGATCATTTTACTGCTGTGCCTTCTGAGCCTCTTATAATAATGAGTGATGTGTATCAAGTACTTGTTTTATACCAAGCATTTTTCCACATATATTGAATTTAGTCTTTATAATAACACTGTGCAGTAGGTACTACTTTTTAAATAAATTTTGTCAATGAGAAGACAGGAATAAAGAAGGTAAATAACATACTAAGTAAGTGGCAGAGCTAAGATCTGAACTTAGATACTGCCTCTAAAATATGCCCTTCAGCTCTGTGTTATTCTGCTGTTTTCTCTGCGCACATACCTAAGACACGTTGGGGGAAGACTGTTTATAGTATCTTCCTCTATACTGTATAAATTATTAATGAATATTACTATTAAAATAAAACTAACAAGATAGGTATCTACTGGAAAAACTAGTTTCAGAAAATCTTGAACTATTTTACTTAAAATCCTGACTTAAAAATGTGTATGTGGGTCAAGCATGGTGGCTCATGCCTGCAATCCCAGCACTTTGGGAGGCAGAGGCAGGCAGATCTGAGGGCCTGAGGTCGGGAGTTTGAGACCTGCCTGGCCAATATGGTGAAACCCTGTCTCTACTAAAAATACAAAAATTAGCTAGGCGTGGTAGCGTGTGCCTGTAGTCCCACCTACTCAGTAGGCTGAGGCAGGAGAAGTGAGACTGTGTCTGAAAAAAATAAAATATAAAAGTATATGTGGGCTGGGTACAGTGGCTCATGCCTGTAATCCCAGCACTTTGGGAGGCCCAGACAGGTGGCTCACCTGAGGTCAGGAGTTCGAGACCAACCTGGCCAACCTGGTGAAATGCCATCTCTACCACAAATACAAAAAAAAAAAAAAAATGCTGGGTGTGGTGGCAGGCACCTGTAATCCCAGCTACCCAGGAGGCTGAGGCAGGAGAATCACTTGAACCCAGCAGGTGGAGGTTGCAGTGAGCCGAGATCATGCCATTGCACTCCAGCCTGGGCGACAGAGTGAGACTCTGTCTCAAGAAAAAGAAAAAGTAAAAAAGTATATGTGTAGCTAGAATTGGTAGTCTACATTTGGGGCTGAATACCAAAAGTTTCAGAAACACAGATTCAAACTTCTTTAAATTTAGATGTAATAGCTTAGGCTAAATGTTGAAGCCATCACTTCATTCTTTCCCTTGAAAAGAAAGCTCTTTGTTTTTTTCCCTGACTTCCCTTCTGCCCACTAATAAGCTAGTTTTCTCTTTTCCTAAACTCCTGAATTTTCAAGCTGCACTACTGTTTCCTAAGATTTGGACAGCATACCCAGAGGTACAAGGTTGGATGGGAATATATTAAACATGTTTATGTTTAAAATATATTTAAATGCATAGGCTAATGGACACGAGTTGCTTGTGATACATAAGTAATGAAAAAGCTGCTGCCCTGAATGACAGGAAACGTTAGGATGAAAAATTACATGATATTGGCTTATGGTAATGAGGATTAAAAACATGAAAATCATGGTTTTGAGTTAGAAGGCCAATCATCCAACAAATGCCAGGAAATACTAATTATTTGTCCTAAACCAGTACAAAGTAAGATACCTGAGTTCCAATGGGCAAAAGCCCTGCTTATCTTTGATGTGATGAAGCTGTTCATATCATTCAAGCTTCACTAAGTGCATTATGTGCTTTCTACACTTATGGAAATCAATCTTTTCTTTGGATTTAGGAGGCTTTGATCCCACCTCTTGCCTCACCTTGCTGGGATTACAGTTCACTGTGAAGTATCTGTGCCAGTGATGTTATCATTTTCTAAGTTTGATTTACAGATCTGAGGAAGGAAACCAACTATATCTTTTGAACACCAAGCAGTAGGATATTTAGCCTACAGTAACTCCACAGGCAGGTAATAGCATCCTCATTTTCATATGAAGACACACAGACTGGGAAAATGAGGTTCCTGTATTCAAGGAGCAAAAATATCACTTGGGAGACTGTCAGGCACTCTCTCTGATACTCCTTTTTTGTCAGCTCTTTTTCTACGAACGTCTTAAATATTTAATGCTAAAAAGCTCAGCCACAAAAACGTGATAAGAATAATCATAGCAAAGAAAGCAAGCAAACAAAAACGTGAATTCCTTTACTGATACCATTGGAGTTATCACTGGAGATACCATTGGAGATATACTATTGGCCCAGAGGAGGTAAGATGGAAGGATGGGTCGGGCGCGGTGGTTCACGCCTGTAATCCCAGCACTTTAGGAGGCCGAGGAGGGCAGATCACAAGGTCATGAGATCGAGACCATCCTGGCTAACACAGTGAAACCCTGTATCTACGAAAAAATACAAAAAATTAGCCGGGCGTGGTGGCGGGCGCCTGTAGTCCCAGCTACTAGGGAGGCTGAGGCAGGAGATCAGTGTGAACCAGGAGGCAGACCTTGTAGTGAGCCGAGATCGCGCTGCTGCACTCCAGCCTGGATGACGGAGCAAGATTCCGTCTAAAAAAAAAAAGGAAAAAAGATGGAAGGATGATCATGGTAAAAATGCATTTTCTATGGGATGTAAATTTCAGTTAAGATGTAAACTTTTACAAATCATCTTACAAACTCCAATTACTTTTCAATTCTCCACACCACACAACTAGTTCAACTGTGACAATTTACATAGTCATCTTTTGCTCTTATTTTATAGATAGAGGAGTTATTTTTCAGTATTAACATTACAAAATAGTTATTTGTTTGTATTCTATTGTTGCAATGAGATGAACATATATAAGTTGTGAGTATTAGACTCAACATTGTCTCCCTTCATGCTGGAAGACGAGTAGCAACAATCCCAACAGTGAAAATATGAATGCACAAATGCCATTGCTTAGATCACTGCAGCTTCTAGGACCCAGTTTCTTTTACTGATTTAAAAACAAAATGAACAAAAAAAAACAAAATTAAAAAGTTTGCCTGACATGAATCTTGATGTTTTTGAATAAGTAGCCACCAGAGTCCTGTAGAAAACAGACATTAGACCCTTGGTGTAGCTTCTGTTCAACTTTATATCATGGGAACAGATGGGTCTGATTTTTTTGCCCTCATCTCGAATTGCTCATATACACGGTCCCCAGCCAGCGGACTGAAGGCTTTGTCTGTGATGACAAGGCTCAGCTCAGGGGATGTGGGGGAGGGCATTTTCATTTTCACGCTTGTTGTTTGAGGTTTCAGTCCCTGGGAAAAGAGGCCATTTATCTTTGTAAATACAAAACATTTTTGCCTTCTCCAGTTTTCTGTTAATGGCGAAAGAATGGAAGTGAATTAAGTTTTACTGATTTCTGAGACACTAAAAATATAAATAAATAAATAAAAACCCAATAGTTCTATATGCAGCACTGTTCTGCCCAGGCAGTGTTCTAAATGTTTGATTTATACTTCAAAAGCACTATCTAATGCAATTATTGAGGTATAAATAATTTTAAATTCTGTTGAATCATTATCGAAAAGTTATTGTTAACCAGCTAGGAATTCCCTGGGATAATTCTAATCCATTCTTCTTCTGGCTATGGATTGATGCCATCTGGGAAGAGCCATTCTGAATCCTGAAAGCCTAGCCCGGACTTCTAGGTCAGCATGAATGATTCCAGGGATCTCTTAATTAGGTGGCACTCCTTTCTCCTGCATAGTCCTGGGATACAGAGTCAGTAGAATTCTGGGATGTGTGCTGGGTAGAGGGTGGGAATTAATCAGGTTGTATGTGAATATGCATTATCATGGGGGAAAGTGATTTCGGAAATTGTTTTCTATATTAATGCACTACAATTCTAGGGTAAATACTACTATTTTCATCTGCAGTTTTAGATCAGAGAACTGAAGTTTTGGAAACTGAGCTATGCCCACGTGATTTATAAGTGGAGGAGCTAGGATTTGAACTCAGGCAGTATGGCTCCACTTGGATGTCTCTCTCATCTTTGACACCCATGCGCAAACCATGCATTTGCCTTGTTTATTTGTGCATTTGTCCTTGGATTATTATCCAGGACCAACCCACCAGTGTTCTTCAAGTGTTCTGATAATGGTGGAGAGATTTGTTATTGATTTAGACAACAAAAGAAGATAATTGTTTCTCTGAAAGAAGACGGAACAGAGGAAGAAATGGCCACCTTCCTATTACTCATACCTGAATGGAACTTCAGGAGGGCTGCTAGCATTGGTGAGAAGTGACTCAGAAAGTCTATAAAAGCCAGCCTGCTGTTTGAGAGGAGTCATGAACCTGTCATTCGTTGACTAAAGTTAGCAGTCAGACTCGTCGATATTCCTGCAGCATGAGAAATCCAGCAAGGTTGCAGAATGCTAACCAGGTAATTATTTCTGTGCTAGGGCTATTCTTGTTTCCTTTCTTTGCTTGCAAAAGGTAAATGAAATTACCTTGTTGTTTCTTTTATTCCTCATGTTCTCTTACTGTTAGGCTCTTTCGTTCTTTTCTTTCCCTGCTGTTAGCAAGATGAAAAAGGCGTCATATTCCAAGGCTTTCTGTTGACCTATGGGACTTAAAAGTCTCCCATGAGGGAAAGAAAGCATCCTTGAAATAAATGTGGATTCACGAAATACCTCAGGCTTGTGGAGGAAACAAATGACTTGTTTCTTTTCAACTCACAGCACTCAGCAGGCAGAAAAGCAGCAATTTGAAATTTCAGTGAGTCTTGGAGTCTCACAAGATAATGCTGAAAGTCGGCAGTCAAAGATACTAGTGAAGTATCAGTGCCGCAAGTTTAAAATGTTCTTACTTCCCAGGGTTTGAAAAAATAGGACAGCCACAAGCTTATTAAATTCAGTGGAATTTCTTTTTGATTTATCAATTTGGGGGGATTTTCCTTGTTTTTCCTGTTTTGATTTGGCAAAGAGACATCACTGATGACTCATATTCCTAAAGAGCTCCAGAGAAATGAAAATGTCAAGCTGTAAGGGACAAGCAGCATGTCACAGAGCAGAGATCATCAGCTTGGAAGGAAGACAGATTTAAGTTTGAAGTGCAGATGGAGCAGTTAATTTTATCTCATTAGGAGAATCATTTAATACCTTTGTTTTTCCTGAATTAGTACACTAGATTCCTAGCTTGTTTTTCTTTATCCACTGTTACCTGCCACACTTACAATTACATCTAACATGAATTACTAATTCCTCACTATGGACTATGAGGGTCTACGTCTCTCGCCTTATTCCTGATTAATCTCCCTTCTTCCTCATTCTCTTCCAGCCACACCAGCTTCCTTGTTGTTCTTTACATATACCAAACATGCATACACCTCAGGGCCGTAGACTTATTGTTTCCTTAGCCTGAAGTCTTCACTGGGCTTGCTTATTCCCTGCATTCAGTTCTCTTCTCAAATTCATCTTTTAAGAGCAGGCTTCCCTAAACTAATGGTCTGAAAAAGCACCCCTTGTCATTCTTGATTCCCTCATTTTGCTTTATTTTTCCTCTCAGTTCTTATCTACATCTGATGCTATATTGGCTTACACGTCTGCCAGTCTCTTCCATCACAGTGTAAACTCCATATGGGCATAATCTGTTTTTGTTCACCACTCTATCCCTAGTGTCTGGAGCAGTGCCTGGGCCATAAAAGGCACACAATAATTATTTATTGGATGTGTCTTGGTTTCTTTCTTTTTAAAGAAAAAAAAAAAAAACCTCTTTGCAGTATTTGTGAAGCTTATAAATAATGCATTAAGTGGATCTCAAAATCCCCTAGTGCATCGAGGCATAATCTGCCTGTGCCTCATTCTTTATCAATTGCGTGTACTCTGGTGGACTTCCAACTTTCAATGTATGCCACTCTTTTCCTGCGGGCTATTTCTGAAGACTTGGAAGGACAGAAGTACCTGAGAGATAACACTGCCTTCCCAGAAGGCCTCAAACTCTGACTCTCAAGTGTTGGTGCCTAAATATCCCAGTGCTCTTGCTCCTCAGGATAATACTGAGATGTGTTTTACACCCTTCCCAGAACTTCTCTGTAGGATTAAGGTCCAGCCAATCACAGTGGTAGCTAGCTACATGACATCTCCTTTATTGGGTGCCTTGTTTCAGGGGTTTTCCCCTGAAAATAATTGCATTGAATCACTGTCTCAGGATCTGCTTCTGGGGGATCCCAAGTGGAGATGTTTAAAGGGTGGCAGTTATTAATATATAATAACTTTTTATAACTCTCAAGAGAAGGTCAAATCTTTTCATATCAATTTTCTGTATCTGAATAAATGCATATAATTGTATACTTCTTAATAATTATTAAAAATAAAGGTGTATTTCTGTGATATTTAGCTCATTCCTTAATATCTTACAGCAGTGCAGTCCTCATCTCTGTGTTACATATATGTTTTCTTTTGTCCTCTTCACAATGATTAAGCTTGTTGATTATTTATATCTGGAATATCTATTTGATTCTCAAACAGGCCTTGTCCCAAAACAGTATATATTTAGGGGTGGGGATCAGGCATTGATACCCTAAACAATTTATCCAATGATCTCCTGTGCACCTAATATGGCAAACTCTGGTAAATGTTTCATAAGTTCTCCCTTTTTCTCAATTTCACTAGCTTTCTCCAGAGTGCTCTGCAATTCTGTATCATCATGGAGTTTTATTTTCATCTTGAATGTCTTTCTTTCCTGTGTTGTTAGAATTTGCTTATGGGTGTTCAGAGTTTTAAATTTAGCAACTTAAACAACATTTTACTCATTTAAATTTTTAAACCTGAAGAGTTTGTAAACCAATAAATGATTAATTTCAAAGCATGCATGTGAAAAATATTTAAAGTTAGTTTATAGTCATTTTTACCTTCATTTAAAAATACTAAGCATTAATACAGAGTATTGGTACAAGGATAGAAAAATAGGTTGACAGCATAGAATAGAGTCCAGAAACAAATCAATGTGATATTTGACAAAGGTGCGAAGACAAAGCAGCAGAGAAGGAAGAGTCTTTTCAACAAATGGTGCAGGAACAATTGAATATTCATATTTAAAAATTATATCAACTTTGATTTATACCTTGCACCAAACATAAAAAATCAGCTGAAAATGAATCATAAACCTAAATATAAAAACTAAAACTATAAAACCTCCAGAAGAAAACATTGGATAAAAGCTCTGTGGCCTGGGGTTAGGCAAAAGTGTCATAGATACACACTAAAAGTATGATCCATAAACAAAAATTGGTAAGTTGTACTTCATCAAAATTTAAAATGTCTGCTTTTCAAAAAACATCACCAGGACAATGAAAAGACAAGTCACATACTTGAATTGAATATTAAAAATACATAGCAAATAAATGACTTATCCAGAATATATAACAAATTTTTATAACTCAGTAATATGACAAATTAATACAAAAATTGGGCAAAAAAAATGTTCAAGAATCAATTCTTATGAATGACCACCATCTATCTTCACCTGTCAGTGTCAATATCATCATTTCTAGATTAATTATTGTGGTTTTCATGTGGCACCCTCTTCTGGGAGGCCTCAGAAAGCTTCCTATCATGTTGGAAGGCACCAACCAATCAACCAAACAAGCAAAAATTCAAACAAAAAGATCCACCTCAAACCCATATCTTGTATCTTACACAACTGTTAACTCAAAATGTACTATAGACATAAATGAAAACATAAAACATAAAACTTCTAAAGGAAAATTGAGGAGAAACCCTTTGTTATCTTAAGTTAGAAAAAAGATTTTTAGATTGCAACACCAAAAACATTCACAAAAGAAATATTGCTAAGTTGGACATTATTCAGTTTGGAAGTTTTTGGTCTGCAAGATGCACTGTTAAATGCACAAAGGGACAAGCTCCAGTGTGGAAAAAATATCTACAAATAACATTTCAGACAAAGGCCTTATATCCAGAATACGTAAATAATTCATAAAACTCAAAAATAAGATAAGCAGCAATCAATTTTTTTAAAAAATGCCAAAAATCTAAACAAGCATTTCATCAAACAAGATATATGGATGAAAAATAATCATATAGAATGGTGCCCAACATCATTAGTCTTAAAAATACATTTTAATATCATAATGAGACACCCTAGATGCACATTAGAATGGCTAAAAACAATAAAAAAAAAGTGACCATGCTACTGGAACTCTTATACCTTGCTGATGGGGATGAAAAATGGCACAGCCACTGTGGAAAATATTTTGGCAGCTTCTAATAAAATTAAACATATGTTTATCATTTGACTCTGAAATCCCACTCCTAGAAACTTATTATGATGGATAATTTCATATGTCAACTTGGCTAATCCATGGTACTCAGATATTTGGTCAAATACCAGCCTAGATGTTGTTGCTAAGGTCCTTTTTTTTTGGGGGGGGGGGGTTGAGACAGAGTCTCACTCTGTGTCCCAGGCTGGAGTGCAGCGGCACGATCTCAACCTCCTGGCTCAATGCAATCTCCGCCTCCCGGGTTCAAGCGATTCTCCTGCCTCAGCCTCCTGAGTATCTGGAACTACAGGCATGTGCCACCACGCCTGGGTAATTTTTTGTACTTTTAGTAGAGACGGGGTTTCACCGTGTTAGCCAGGCTGGTCTCAATCTCCTGACCTCATGATCTGCCCACCTCGGGCTCCCAAAGAGCTGAGATTACAGGCGTAAGCCACCTTGCCCAGCCCACAAAGGTGCTTTTTAAAGTTGAGATTAACATTTATGTCAATAGACTTGGAGTAAAGCAGATTGCCCTCTCTAATGTGGATGGGCCCCATCCAATCAGTTGAAAGTCTTAAGAGAAAATTAAAATCTCTGGAGGAGGAGGGAATTCTGCCTGTAGACTGCCTTTGGATTAAAGCTGCAGCATCAACTCTTCCCTGGGCCTCTGTCCTGCTGGCCTACCCCATGTACATGTAGATTCTGTACATGGCAGCTTCCAAAATCACATGAGCCAATTCCTTATAATAAATCTGTTCCTGTCCCATTCCTATTCATTCTATTTCTCCAGAGAAGCATGACTAATAAGATTTTGGTACCAGAAGTGAGATACTACCATCATAGTATTCCACACAGCACTACTTCTGATCAAGGGACTCACTTCATAACAAATAAAGTGCAGTAATAGATGCATACTGTTGAAATTCACTAATCTTTCCATGTTCCCCACCAACCTGAAGCAGGTGGCTTGATGGATTTGAGCTGCAACATCAACTCCATCCTGCCAGCCTATCCTGTAGTTTGGACTTGACAACCTGCATCATCTATCTCTCTCAATATACACATCCTACTGGATATCTCTTTCTATATATACACATTCTGTTTCTCTGTATAACCCTGACTAATATATTTGCCCAAGAGAAATGAATACTTACTTTCATGCA